AAAAAAAAAAAAAAAAAAAAAAAAGAAAGATGAAGAAACTGTTTAAAGCATGAAGCGTGGCCAACAGAAACAATGACTGTAATGGATAAATACCTTTAAAGGATGAGGAATAGCTGACAGACGGTGCCACGTGTTAGCAGGGACATGGTATGACCAAAACTCTCATATGGACCAGTCTACAGAGAGGTCCCTGCCGTGAACTCTGAACTATCATATTTCCCAAGTTGGGGTTTACAACAAAAGACTTTGCCTTTCTAGTATTTTTTATTTTCTCCCTGTTTTGAAAGAACTAATCCAGGGAACTGAGTTTTGATCCAGACACTCCTTTCTAGTGATCAGAACAAAAGGGTACACTGACATCTTTGAATCTGATTCATTGATCTTCCATCAGTAACGCGGGTGGTCACGATGGAAGACACTTCTCATCTCCAGAGAAGTGCCTTCTAAAGACCGAATCAGATTCCTGTCAACAATAAAGAAAGATGCAGTATTTATTTCCACTGAAAAGCTGGAATTCAGGAGTTGACAGGTGACATTAATGAAGAAAAATAATCACATTTAATTCACTCTGGGGTTATATCTTTGGCTGGGAAAGAAAAATTCCCAGGAAGGTAAGTATTTTGACCCTAACAGAAGAGCAATGAGCATCCATTTGCAAAGTTCATGCCTCTGATGGAGGATTGAGTTTACTTCAAACTAGGTCATAGTATATCTGTGACCGACAGAAAATACTAGCGGTAAGACAGGAGGAAACTAAATTTTATTGCACTTACAACCGTCCAGGACATTAACATGCCATCTTATTTGCTCCCTTCAATAACTGTTGTGAGCTGAGACTGCTACCACCATCTTAGCTTCAGAGAGTTTAATAAGTCACCCAGAGTCCCGCAGTGGCTGGTCTACCTTTCTATCACAGGCAGTAAGTTCATCCTCACATTTTGGAACTAGACAAAATATGATTCAAAATCTTGTTCTTTCACTAATTAGCTAAGTAACTGGGCAATTCACTCGAGTCTTTCGACCCTCAGTTCTTTCCTCTGTAAAATGAGACCCCAATGGTGTCCTTGTAGAACTGCTGTTAGAGATACAGATACATTAATATAAAGTACTGATAATAGTAATGAAAGTCAAACATTGGCTTGGTAATCTTTGCACATTGCTAAAGAAAAAAAGCTATTTCTCCCCAAGCCTGACATTCAAAAGAGCCCTGTGTATTTTATATTTAATTAATATCTCTTCCTCAACTAGAAATGGATCCCGCTCTTTGTTAGGCAGGATCGCTCCCTTAGCCAGGCTTCTGCGACTCACCGCACACAAGGCCCATCTGTCTGGAGCAAACAGTCGGTCCCAACTTGAAAGGAAACCACGGAGTCCAAGTGCCTGCCTGGCTACTGCTGGAGAAGGTTTAAAGGAAAGTGGGCAACAAGAAAAACGTGGGGGTCTCTCTCTCCCCGCTCCCTTTTGGAGGGACTCAGAATGGGTCCCTAAACATAGCACAAACAAAATTTGGCTCAGTTTACCTGAAGCCAACATTTCCCATGACCCAAAACAAGGGTAAAGTTCTGTGTATAGCGCTTCTCCCTGGCTCTGCACATTTCAGTTCCACAAAAAGAATGAGTTCACTAGTCTAACAACAATACTTTCTCAAACAAATAGAATTTAGTGCTTGGGGTGAGGGAGCCTGAAATTATTTCAATTTTCTAAAATCTTCCCTTTCTTAAACAATAAACAAAATTTTCCACTTTCATTTACTATCTTTTCTCCAACTCAATTTTTATCTGAATGTTGCTAATCTTCCAATCTGATTTCTAGTATCTTTATGAGCAGAAAGGCAATTTTCCATGCAGGCAGCACTTCTTCCTGCTGCTTTGCCCCCCAAGTTCCTGGCACCAACTAACCAGTTGCCCTTCATGTCCTTCTACCTTCCCCTTCCTGCCTGCAGGTTTTCCACTTCTCCCTCCACAGACTTGGAACAAGCAAGTAGCTCGGATGAAGGAATGAGGTGGAGATGGGTCTGGCTCAAGGTTATATTCTCCGGCCTCTCCCACCCCTACCATCGCTCCTGAGTGGAGCGAGAGTTCCCTACCCATGCTGGGCAGTCTCTCTGTGATTTACTTTGTCTCTCTCAAAGCTTTCCCTGTGTTACTGAGAAGACCAGGATGGATGGAGAACACATACAGATTTTTAAAAGAGGCCACAAGGCCCCAGCTCAAAGTTCAATCAGCTCCTCTTTTTCTAAATCCTTCGGAGAGGACTTGAGATATTTAAATGCTACAGCTTCAAAAACAAAGCAAAAAAACTCAGTTTAGGCCACAGGTCCACGGAATGATCTCAACAAGTCTGCCCACTACAGGAAATTTATTGAAACAAAAAGAAAGTGTTGTTTCTTATATCCAAAGTTTATGACTTATTTCTGTATTTGAGTAAGACTAGGTCATCCAAACTATGCTCAAAAATGCCTCTTAAGTGTCTCTTAATTTGTGGGGTACTTATTTGACCATATGTAGAACAGGGTTCACTAGTGTTAGCCAGAGGACTGAGCACCATTCACACCTGAGAGTCCTTTCTTTAATCAGAAACCCCCCAAATACTTAAGGTAGCGAATGAGGCTCTGCCATGAAAGAGTAGATAGAGAGAGAAAAGTTGGTGGAGTGTGAGTCTTTGAACATATAGAAAGGCATGAAGTTACAAAAGGCAGATGGAGAGATGGGAGAGGAATTCTCAAATACAACTGAAGGAGCACTCTCCCAAACCACCTGCCTCTGCTATGGTGCCGGTACCTCTCTGTACCTGTGTCCTTGTGCGCTGGACAGCAGGGAGCAAGTTTAGGAGGAGGAAAAAAAGAGGGCAAGGAAGGCAGAGGACGGGGGAGAAGGACATGAACTAACATAAAGAATTCACTTGCTGGATGTTTCATGTTCCTTCTCCAGGGTGCTCTGATCTTTAAAGTCTCAACTCATGACTCTATTCACATCTGTGGAACGTCCTCGTAACTCTGCCAGAGCACAGGCCCACATTTTATATGTTAATATAACATTTATATTTTATTTTAAAAATATATTGTATTATATTTTTATATTATATTTTATGCTCCTTAAGGTACCATTCCTTTTGAGGTCTTCTGCCTACAGAAAGAGCTAGAAAAGCAGTTACCACATAAAATAAATATGGAAATTACAAAAAACATTTTAGTCAGCTTCAGTGTAAAATGTCCTGTGTGAATTGACTGAATATTAGCTGTAGCTTAAACATACTGGTTAAAACATAAGAA